GAAATTTGCATAAAATACTCGCCAGCACTGTTATACGAAATTCGGTAAAAAACCCAAAATCGCCATATTCAGGTGCCTTAAAAACCATGTTAAAATTGAGTTAGAGATCTGAAAATTTTCAGGGCGTCTAGACGTTGACCAAATCGACTGCAAAAAAAGTTTCAGGTTTCAGGAGCATCGGGAAGTGGGTTTTCTAGAACCCCTGTTTTACGACAGATTGTCGTGATATATACATATATATATACATATATATATTCAGGGATAGACGCTTTGCCAGTCAATTATAGGCTATATTTAGGTGTCCGTAGATTCAGAAGCTTTAAAGATACAGCCATTTCGGACCACAGGTCTTGAAGATAATTGTTTAGACTTTAGTTTACATTATGTTAAAAAGTAATTCAACGTCATCATCACCACTTGATGACGTCATCAAGTTAACCATTTTTAAAACTTGATTTTTCACAAAGTAATCATTTTTAAAATCGATTTTACGCCATTAAGGAGTAATTTTATTCAAAATTTGAGGGCATATTGAAGTTAGATAATTGTTTAAGCATTCTGAAAATCTACCGGAAAGTTTTTCTAGCTTGCTCCTTCATAAAGATATTCGCTGTTGAAGTTAGTGCTTTTTTAAAGAATAATTTTATAAAAACGCTAATTTTACGTTCTAGTATTCTCTGGTGTTGCACCATCCCTTAGGTTGTGGAGCTCAATTTTGCTTCCTATAGGTCTAAATTGTGTCATAGGCTAGTTTTAAAGTTGAAAATCAAAAAGTTGCACACGTGGGGTCACGCCCAAATTGATAGAAAATTGCTAAAATCACTGAAAATTGCTGTTTTCACCAATTTCCGTCAACTTTGGAGTGCCGTTGTGATTACAGTTCTTCTTGAAATACTTTGAAACTTTGCATGCTTATCAAACTATATATAAAACATCATTATGTAAAAATTTACGGTGATTCAATATTGGATGCGCACGCAACTTTCGCTCAAGGTTTGCACGTGCGAAAGGTTAAAATTTTGCTCATTCGTGATTTTGAACAAATTCTGCTTTGCCACGACAGTTCAATGTCATTATATATGAATTGAGTATAAAGTGGCATATTCAGTCAGTGATCGACCGATCGCGATATGCTTACCTAAACACAAGGAAATATTTTTAAAGGAAAAATTTTGAAATCACCTCCTCATTAATATTAATGAAGTTCAAGAGTTTAAATCCCAATTAGTCAGATTAATGAAGTTATGAGTTTACATTTCGGCTTTGTAAAGTACCCTGACATTATAATAATCAAAAAGAGATGATATTTGACCAAAACCCATAATCATGGGTAGAGTGGACCGCTGCCAGTGTCTCTCTTTCCCAAACAAAAGGCAATGATATCAATTTGAATGACCGTTATCAAATGCAAAATGATACCGAGAATGAAATCGGTCGCTCGCTTTTCCCATTCATTTACAATTGAAATAGATTACATGTTATAAATCGAAACTTATTACAATTCGTAAGCCATGAATGAGTGGGAAAAGCGAGCGACCGATTTCATTCTCGGTATCATTTTGCATTTGATAACGGTCATTCAAATTGATATCATTGCCTTTTGTTTGGGAAAGAGAGACACTGGCAGCGGTCCACTCTACCCATGATTATGGGTTTTGGTCAAATTATTATATATAATATGTATAGACGCTTTTTGCAGTAAATTGTAGCCTACATTTAAGTGTCCTTAGATTCAAAAGTGTAAACGATACAGTCATCTCGAACCACAGGTTTTAAAGATAATCGTTTAAGCTTTAGTTTACATTGTATTGAAAAATAAATTAACGTCATCATCATCACTTGATGACGTCATCAAATTAAGTGTTTTCAAAACTTGATTTTTGACAAAGTAACAACTTTTCAAATCGATTTTTCACTATTAAGGAGTAATTTTATTCAAAATCTGAGGATATTTTCACCTTAGATAATTGTTCAAGCATTCCGAAAATCTACCGGAATAGTTTCCTACCTTGCTCCTTCATAAAGATATTTGCTATTGAAGTTAGTGCTTTTTTGAAGAATAATTTTATAAAAACACAAAAGTTGTGAATTAGTATTCTCTGGTGTTGGGCCATCCCTTGGGTTGTGGAGCTCAATTTTGCTTCTTAAAGGTGTCAATTGTGTTATAGGCTAGTTTTAAAGTTAAAAATCGAAAAGTTGCACACGTGGGGATACGCCCAAATTGATTTAAAATAGCTAAAATCACTAAAAATTTTGATTTTCACGATTTTTATCAACTTTGGAGTCCCGTTGTGATCCAAGTTCTTTTTGAAATCTTCTGAAACTTTGCATACTCATCAAACTATATATTAAATACCACTATGCAAAAATTTACGGTGATTCAATATTGTATGCGCACGCAACGTCCGCTCAAAGTTTGCACGTGCGAAAGGTAAGAATTTTGCTCATTCGTGATTTCGAATATATTCTGCTTTCCGCGATATTTAAATGGCATTATATATGAATTTAATGCCACTTGAATGAGTAAAAAGTGCCATATTCAGTCGGTTATCGACAGATATACCTAACTAAACACAAGGAAACGTTTACAAAGGCAGAATTTCGAAATTGTCGAATTACCTCCTTAGTCCTTGTTAATGAAGTTTCGACTGTGTAAGTTATCCTGACATTATAATCAAAAAGAGATGATATTTGACCAAAACCCATAATCATGGGTAGAGTGTACCGCTGCCAGTGTCTCTCTTTTCCAAACAAAAGGAAATGATATTAATTAGTTAATTTGAATAACCGTCCGCAAATGCAAATTGATACCGAGAATGAAATCGGTCGCTCGCTTTTTCCATTCGATCACGGCTTACGAATTGTAATTGGTAATAAAGCTTATTGATTAGAAAAAGCGAGCGACCGATTTCATTCTCGGTATCAATTTGCATTTGCGGACGGTTATTCAAATTAACTAATTAATATCATTTCCTTTTGTTTGGAAAAGAGAGACACTGGCAGCGGTACACTCTACCCATGATTATGGGTTTTGGTCAAATCACGTATACAAATTAAAGTACTTTCACTTATCACCTTCCCGGACCAAATTATAAGGAAAAGACCGTTTTATCAAATACAATATGGGAGCGTTCACATATGACGTCAGCAGCCAAGGGGGTATGGGGGTTTGGACATGTTGACGGTTGCTGGACGGGGAGGGGGAGGGGGGTCTGAGCCTTGCTGACGAGGACGTCAGCAGAAATGAAAAAAATTAAAATAAAATAAAACTTTGCTAATTTCTTTAATATTAGTACTTCTATTCGGTGAACTGAACTCTGTTGACCAACTGATATCAGTCGCATACTCATTTTTCATTTTTCCTGCCTACACCCGTCAGCATTTCTATACCCCCTCGCTGGCTGACGGAAGGGCACAAAGACGTGAAACTTATTAAGAGACTATACCGGTGCCAAACTTTGAAATTGTTGTTTTCTTGAAAACCGATAAAACTTTGAAGGAGAGCTAAGTTTGAGCTAGAATATGAAACAATTGCACTGCCACACGTGAAATGTAGCTCAAACTTGGCTCTCTTTCAAAGTTTTATCTATGTTGGTTTTGTACCCGTAAACTCTAAACAACTTTTACGTCTTTGCTTTTCGGAGTCAGTCGATACTTTCCCTCATCACATCATGTCCTAGTACCACATAGTCATAGTATATAGATATAGTACATACTATTATAATAGCGGTACTATAATTAGTACTATTATAGGGTCACTTCACATAGCCATGTGTATAACTATACGCGTACTGCGTGACGCGCTTGTTTACTGCAAGCGAGAGGGCTCTGGTTAGAGCAATAGGGTCACTAATATTATTGTGCACCAACTAATTATATCCATTTCATTGGTCTCGACGTGATGAGGGACAGTCTACACTTATAGTTATACTGATAGCTTCAAAAGTTCGAGCTGGAATATTGAACAATTGAGTTGTGGGTATTGGAGCGTTCAGATATTATAACGTCAGCAGCCGAGGGGAAGGGCTGGTTTGGAAATTCTGAACGGGGGGCCGGGGGGTCTGAGCCTTGCAGAAATGTAACGTGAATTTTCGGGGAAATTGTTGGTTCAAATCAATTTTATTAACAATAAAACTTCGCTAACTTCCTTAATATTAGTACTTCGGTGAACTAATTAACTCTGTTGACCAACTGTTTATATCAGTCGCATACTAATTTTCCCTGCCTACACCCGTCAGCATTTCTATACCCCCTCACTGGCTGACGGAAGGCGGAAAGGGGGTAGGTATTAAAGTATTAAGTAAGAGGGTTAAGAAGGCAAGGGGGTCTGGCGAATGCTGACATCATTGGGGGGGGGGGGGGGGGGGTGCCCAATGCTGACAGAGGGAGGGGGGTAAAATTTTGCTAAAATCTTGCCGACGTCATAATATCTTAATATGTGAACGCTCCCTATGCACCTTTTCCAAATTAAGTAAAATAAAACCACATTTATTTGAAAACTATCTAATTTCCATCTAATTTCCTGCTAATGTTCGACCTTAACTTAAACTATTTTACTGTTTACATTTGCCTCAACAAAGCGCGTATATTTAGATAAAGTGAAAGGTTTTAGTTATGAAAACATTCGGGCAACCATACTTTTTACTGTTATCGTTCAACATAAGCATTTCAATTTATTCGTTCGCTGTTATCAGTTTCTTCGAGTATAGTTTTAGTTTTGCATTGAATGGAAAGTTAATTTTAGTTGTAATAATTTCAATTTTTCAGACCAGAGTCCAGAACTAGGTGATACTGATCATGGCAGAAGTTCGTAAACAAAGACAAAAAAACTGTTCAAAATTCTCCTTTTTTGGACTCTTGTCTCTGTTAGTATTATCCTGTTCTTGAAACCAGACTTTGGGTCTATTATATCCAGTAAAGATTATGAAGGCAGTGTTACCAATGATCTTCATCTCACTCCACCTTCTCACCAGTGGATCGAACAGCAAATAAACCGGACTATGGCTATGTTAAACTATAAGGCCCTTAGTCCGCCCAACAAATGGATATGCAGGAAACCAAGACAAACTTACTATTTTCCTAAAATCAAGACCATATTCACAGGCATCCCCAAATCCGGGTCTTCAAACTGGAAAGAGTTCCTAATGAGAGCGGAAGGTACCTTGAACGTGAGTTTAGGACCAAGTCAAGTCAATACCATTGACAAGTTGTATTCCGATAAGTTCCGGTTAGGCGCTCATTCAAATGCTGCTGACGTTTACAAGGCGGTTAGAAGAGGTGAAAATATTTTCAGTTTTGCAGTGGTTCGCAACCCCTGGACCAGGTTGGTCTCCGGGTACAGAGACAAACTGTCCGGCGAGGTAACACCTGGGAGACCTGCTTTTGGAGGAATAGCCCGGAGAATAGCATATGAGATGAACCTGCAAGATAACATGACCAATAGTGGAACACACCCCACTTTTAACCAGTATCTGAGATGGCTGGTGGACAATCCTAATAAGTTAAACGACCACTTTACACCCCAGCACCTCCAACTGTGCATCCCTTCAGCTAGATACGACTACGTCATACCTTTGGAGTACAGCAGTGTGCTTAACAAGGACATTAACCAGAAGTAAAGATAAACACTACTCTGCAGCTGTCTAGTGCATATGACTCTGTTAGTGATCCTAGATTGCAGTCCTCAGCTGTTCTGGCCAGGGAGTGGCTCTATCAACAGGATCACCAGGTCATCGATAGATTGTACCACATTTACAAAGCGGATTTCGCTTTAATGGAATACAGCAACTTCTCCCACCCTGATTTTCCTTTACCGATGCATAGAAAGTAAAATAAGTTCCTTTGTTCACTTTGGCTTGAAGAATTTTTTGGCATGTATACTTTTAGGCAACTTTGGGATTTTTTATTGCAAAAATGGCGCTCAATAATTGTAATATATAACTGTATATTGTTCTAGCTACAACATAGTCTATATATTCATTTGTAAATTGTGTCCATCTCCTTTCTGCTATGTTGGACGTACCATTAGGACTTTACATGAAAGAGTAACCGAACATAGAGCTAACTATTATAAATTATTGAAAGATCCTTCCTTAAAACTTAATGATGATTTTTATCTGATGATAGTGACACTTACAGTTTAGCAGTTCACCTTATAGACTTATAGACTCACATAACCTTTCTAATAGGCCTGATTTTGATGCTTCTTATAATGTTTTTATCCTAAAGAATTCTAGTCCTAGTAATTTAGAAGTTAACGAAAATCTACTTATACAAAAACTCAGAACTTTGAAACCTTATGGTATTAATTCATGTGCTCCTTTTGGTATGCCACTTTTATTTGAAAATAAAACTTTTGATAATGGTCCTTAAATTATTCCACCCTTAATGCAGGGACTAGTATTTTTATCTACTAGTTGGGGCCTCACAACCCCCCATACCCGAGTGCTTCCCATTCCATTTTTGAGAGTTCGACTTCTTTTTACCTAACATCCTTTAGTTTTAATTATAATTTTCTGATATAATTGGAGTATTAACCCTTATCTTTATTAGGTACTGAAGATGTCCGAAAATGTTTTACCAATGATATGATGTTATAAAGATTTTGTTGGAATTTTTAAACTCATTCGTTGTCTGACTGTGGGAACTATTGATTTTTGTATATTGATTTAACTGTTCAAGTTCCTTCTATTATCTTATTATTAACTCTTCCATTTGCAAACTCGCATTTCAATTTGTCATTATCATTGACTCTTACTTTATAAATTATTAACTTACCACGTATGCATTCGTCCCAAATCTGAATTTTTTTTCTTTATCATGAAATTCGGAATCGAAGCAAAATTTTCCATTTATGGATTTCGCTTCAGAAGCTTTCATCATGAGAGTATGAGTTACTGTAAAACTGGTTTCAGACTCCAGTGAGTGTATTGAGTCTCATGACAAATATGTACAGGTACATTTGTCATTGGAGACTTTTATGTAATGGCATGTTATCAGGTAAGGGAAGCTGCTTGTAGAGTACTGATTGTACTGAAGGGGGGTTGTAGTTGTATTATTTAATTAGTCGCTGCTCCATTAAAAGCTTAACAGCGTTTTTTATAGTTTTGTGCGGGCTATTTTTGGTTTTGAAGGCCTCTTTCTCAGCCTTTCTTAATTCTTTGTTTGGTTGAACTTTCCACTGTGTGACATGTACCAAATGTACTGAAATGTTATATTTCTAAGTCTGAAAGTTCATCTGTCCTAAATTTTGTTTTATCAGCAATTAAAGGAGAGTGAAAAATGCAAAGCCAGAAAGCAGGGTCCAGATTGTAAGATGACCAGGAAAAATGCTTTCTTTCCTCATCTTAAGTTTAGTATTACTAAAAGCTGAACAGTCCCACTCCCTGGAGAAGATCTCCATAAACTTCGGAGGATGCAACTGTCAACCAGGATGGGTAGGATTTTATCCGCTAGTTTTAACTATTTAAAACTAATTAGTTTTAACTAATTACCTTATGCAATAATTACCTTTAAGGTATCAGTCAAAATAAAGAGATTCCGTCTGGAGTTTAAACAAATTTGCAGTGTGTGCACCCTTCTAACTGGCTGACAGAGTGCAAATGAAACTAATAACTCATTTGAACAGGAAACAAATTAATGACCCCACATTCTCAGGTGTGTTAATTAATTAATGACCCCACATTCTCAGGTGTGTCCGGATGGAAGACGGAGTATCACAGTCTCAACTCATACTCTGAGCTTCCAGAACCCTTACGTTTTGCGTGGCAAGCGGCATAGACTTTGTACTAAATTCCCAGAACCTTGGAGGTCCTTCGTTCATTTTAGGTAAGTTCAAGTTCATTTTACTTTTAGGTCAGTTAAAATTCATTTGAACAGTTAAGTTACAGTTCATTTAATATTAAAGTTACAGTTTATTTCAGTTACATCGTTTAACCAATGTAGCATTTAAGCACTATGCGTTATACTTATATACGCTAACAGTAACTGCGTATAATGCGATTACACTATTAATTGCACGAGGCGACCCGAGTGCAAATTGATATAATAATCGTACGAGGCGAACATGTTTTCGATTTCTCTCAAAACAGTGCGATTAGTTTTGTAATCGCACTATGAAAAAAATAAGTGGCCGTCAATTAGGTCAAAAGTGGAGTGTAAGTACACCTTTTACCAATAACAAATCAATAATAAATTACAGTGCCCAGAACAAGTATTGTATCAGCAAGGTAAAGAACGGGACCTACTCATACAACGTGGTCCTCGGAGACTGCAGGTATTTGACCAGCTACGGATATAATCTTAAAACTAGAACTTCATCGTATAGTGTAAAAGTTTACTTTTATAGACTTGGGGTCAGCCCAAATGGCAGCCATGAATATCGACCAACTTATATCAACTAATATCAACCGGTCAATATTAGTGTCCTCCAGTCACCCATGGACCTGTCCCTCGCCAAGTCTCTGTGAGGGAGTTATCATGACTCATCAGATACCAGATCTGGGTCCCTATCTTCTTATCTAATAATGTATAACCCTCAGGTTTAACACGTTTAATGTGCTCACTATCAACGGGGAGACTACGTTATCTCACTATCAGACCAATTATACACCGAGGGTAATTTCACATTATTTGATCCTTAGAATTATTTCAATTATTATGGACCTCTTCAACCTAGATTTTAAATTTGTCTCTAGGATTCTTTTCTATTACGGACCTGGATCAATTTTATCACGAAATTGAATCCCCTGTAGAAAATTGTTGCAGAACCAATTGTCACTGATCAAAGAAAATAGTATCAAACGATAAACACCATACATAGTTTTTAAACTACCTTCGTTGCATTGTGATCGCGGCCCTTTAAAAAACAGGTAAAATAAAGCATCGCCAAGTCGTACCCTACAAAATACCCTTTAAAATATAATTTCACATCAGTCCGATCCACTATAGCGATTATTTTTTTACAGACATCCAAGTTATCTTACGTAAAACACTGGGTCTTGCTAACTGGTTTCCTCGCCAAACTTCTCAGATCTTTCCCTATCTGCCCCACCTCCTCTCCCGCTCTTTCCACCTCTACCGCCTCTGCCACCTTCTCCGCCATTTTTACCTCCTCTTCCACCTCCTCTTCCACCTTCTCCGCCATTATTACCTCCTCTTCCACCTTCTCCGCCATTCTTACCGCCTCTTCGACCTTCTCCGCCATTCTTACCGCCTCTTCCACCTTCTCCGCCATTCTTACCTCCTCTTCCACCTTCTCCACCATTCTTACCTCCTCTTCCACCTTCTCCGCCATTCTTACCTCCTCTTCCACTTTCTCCGCCATTCTTACCGCCTCTTCCGCCTTCTCCGCCATTCTTACCTCCTCTTCCACCTCCTCCTCCATTCTTACCTCCTCTTCCACCTTTTCCACCTTTCTTGCCAGAATTACCCCCCTCTGTCTTTGCAAAGTTAAGTTTAACGAAGCAGGCAGTAACCACAAGACAAGTACCACACAAATAGAACTTATCAATAGAGGTGTCATTGAAGAGGAGAAGAGAGAAGACCACAGAGAAGAGAACGTTGGTGGTTCCCAAGAGACTGCTGATTGTGACGGGAAGGTTACTGCTCCCGGAGCTCATCAGGTAAGGCCGTAGTTGTTGGAGGAGGGCCACTGTCACTATAAGGACCATGAGCCTCCAGTCGGGGCAGGAGAATACCTTGGAGGTGGTCTTGAAGAGGAAGGATTGGATAGTCAAGGCAGACACTTGGCAGGAGGTGTCGAACAGCATGAGGGCAGTAAAGTGCTCCGTTTGCGCTCCTTTCTTCCTGAGGGACCTTCCTGCGATCATGAGATAACCACGAACAAACAACTGGCAAACTGCCAGTCCCATCGCGACGTAATGTGCTGTTGTGAAGATGTTGTTTGACTCCATACCAGTCAGGAGGGGTGGTCGGGAGCACACGAAGGTACCTAACCCAGCAGTCAAGAGCACTGGATAATCCAGAACAGGGTCCATTCTCTCTCCCAGACAGAGTGCAGCAAGAATAGCGCTCACGAGGGGGTTCATGGCGTTTATTGTGGCTACTATACTCAAAGGTAGAGTTCGAGCGACGAAATTCATGGAAACAGCCAGACAACCTTGTACCCAAGCTCGTTTTGTGAAATCCCATTTCGTCATCCCAATCTCACTCAACAGTGACATCTTGGGACGTCTAATGAGTCCGAAGACCAGTACTAAACCAGTCTTAAAGACACCTAGCTGATGAGGGTGAGTAGCGTATCTCAGGGAGAACTTGCTGAGAGCACCCATAGAGACAATGATAAAATTAGTTAGGAGGCAGAGGGAGATATACTTGGTATACTCTGTCTGCTCCCTAGGTTTAGGAACATAATCACCCTCTATTAGCCCCTCCATCCAACCCCATTGAGGAACTGCTTCATACTCCCCCTCCTCCAAACTCTCCTTCAGCTGTATGTCTGTATTGTACTGAGCAGTCCAGTGGTGAGGTGGTCTCCTGAGGATGTTATCTCCAGATCGAGGAGAGTTTGACTCAGTGTTAGAGTCCTTGTTGAGTCGTCCTGGTGCTCGATTTCGAAGGTTCGGGTGTTCTCCATCTTCAGTCATATTTCTACAGG